AAGATGTATAGATGTCAATTATTTACTCTGTTTCATCGACTGCAAGGTTTTTAATAATCACCTCATACACTTGCTTATATTACAAAATATAGATAAGAATAAGCTAAGCATATAAATCACAAAAAAAATCACAAAAAAAGTATCTGTATTTTAATCAGGCTGCCAATATTAGGGTGAGAAATAAATATTCTGAGGATATATAGATACAAAGGGAAGTCAGACAAGATTGCATACTCTTACTAGCATTGCTTAACTTAAAATTCGAAGAAAGCATTCAAAAATCACCAGAAGAGATGATTGGAATATCAACAACATCAGATTTGCAAATGGCAGTACCTTAAATTAATAACTATTAGATAGAGCAATAGATGATAGCGAAGAAAGTTAACTAACACAATATTAAAAAAATGAAAATTATGACAATTACAAAAACAACAAGAAATATATAAAAGGGAAGTCCCAGAAAAAAAGCTAGTACCCTTCTTCTTCTTCGGGTTCCTTCTCCTAGCGGAGGTTGGAAATCATCATCGCTATTTTAACTTTGTTGGCCGCATTTCTGAATAATTCTAATGAGCTGCAGCCGAACCACTCTCTCAAATTTCTTAGCCAGGACATTTTGCGTCGTCCAGGGTTTCTCTTCCCTTGTATCTTCCCTTGCATAATCAACCTCAGTAATACGTACTTCTCACCCCTCATTAAATGTCCCAGATATTGAATCTTTCTAATTTTAACAGTTTTTATGACTTCACATTCTTTATTCATTCTTTGTAACACCTCTATATTAGTTACTTTTTCAATCCACGATATTTTATGCATTCTCCTGTAGCACCACATCTCAAAGGAGTTTAATTTTTTGATTTCAGCCAATACCCATTCACTACTAAAAATACATCTTCAAGGTGAAGTCACACCATGATGTATTACATAAGGTCCTCTATGACTGGTAAATTACAAATTTGTAAGAAGGCATTCTTAAGCATACATGGGTTACAAAACAATAGAGGAAGAGTTGAGAATGTTGTAAAATCTATGAAAACTGGTTTATCAACTCTAAATGGTATATAGGTATAAGATGGATGATAGGGGTTTACACAAATATCATAAAATAAAATATATATATATATATATATATATTACAGGATCCAATTTGTAAATAGAATACATCTTGGAGACGGCTATCGCCGTATTCCCGTCCCCCTCCGCCAATCCTCTCGGTCGAAGGCATGCTCCTCCTCCAAACCTCTCGATTCCATTGCTCTTCTAATACCTTCATTCCATGAGCGTCGAGGTCTACCTCTTTTTCTTCCACCAGGGGGCTTCCATCTGTGAAGTTTTTGGGGCCAACGTTCGTCAGGCATTCTTAACAGGTGTCCAAACCATTTTAAACCTCTTCTTTCTATTCTGTCTATGACAGTATCTGTAGCATTCATCTGATTTCTTATAAATTCGTTGGTTGTCCTTTCCAGCCTTGATGTTCTAGTACTTCTTCTCAAATAATCCATTTCAACTGCCAACAATCTTCTTTTCAGGTCTGCATTAATTGTCCATACTTCAGAGCCATAACAAAGAACTGATTCAACCATCGTTTGCCCTATTCTTTTTTTGCTCCTTTTGGAAATGTTGCGATCCCACCATAAGGAGTTCAAACATCCTACAATTTTACGTCCCTAAAAGAAAATATACTGATCATCAAATCATGATGTTATGATGTTTATAAGCAAGAATGCATACGACAAGTCAGCAAATGTGTATCTTTAGACAAATTTAAACGTATGTTTACCGAAGAATTTAATATTAAGATTAAAAACCCACAAACAGATACCTGCGGTGTTTGTGACAGCATAAACGTCGCTCTTAAGAATGACGCTTCAAAAACTGATTAAGGCGCTATACAAAAGTTAAAATTTAAACAAGAATTGCATCACAGAGAAGCCCAAGCTGGTCAAGACGCCATAAAAGAAGCGACTCTGGAAGCCTTAACATCTGATGGAATTTATGCTTTACCATTCGATCTTCAGCAATCTCTGCCAACTCCTAAATTATCGACAAGGCCAACCTTTTACAAAAAGAAGTTGTTTTGATACAATTTCAGCATCCATAGTTTGTATTCCTCCCAGGGGTATTTCTACATGTGGGATGAGGCAACAGCTGGCAGAGGAGCTGACGAGATTGAAAGCTGTATAATTAAACATTTTTCCTCCTATGATATAAAAGGCTCCAAACTTATTGCCATTTCTGACAACTGCAGTGGACAAAATAGGAATTCTTCTGCTTCCTTTAGATCGAGATTTTGCCCTAGTGGAAAAATATATTAGAGCTCACTGCCAATATGTATATTCTCCAAAGGAATAAGAAGCAGTTTTAATTGCTTCACAGAAAAAAACACCATTCCTAGTTCATCGAATGAAACAGGAAGACTTTTTAAAAATTTCTTCTTCTTCTTAAGGTGCCGTGCATTTCTGCGTAGGCGTCCACCGTACATCGTCTTGTCAGGTGAGATGTTAAATATTCTGGATTAAATAATTCTGTTTTTAGCAGCATTGCGAAGCATTTCATAGCTGTGGATTATTGTCCATTGTCGAATATTGCGCAGCCATGACATTTTTTTACGTCCGAGACCTCTCCTACCCTTTATCTTCCCTTCGAGTATCAGTTGCTGAAAAGTGTATCGTTCTCCTCGTATAATGTGCCCCAAGTATGCAGTCTTCTTACTTTTTACATAATTAAAAAGTTCCCTATCCTGTAAGCCCGCTCTTCTGACTACTTCCTCATTTCTGACCCTGTCCGTCCATGATATTTTAAGCATTCGACGCAGGCACCACATTTCAAACACTTCAAGTTTGCTAATGGAACTGGCCTTTAACGTCCATGCTTCCATTCCGTACAGGAGAACAGGACACACGTAACACTTAAGCATCTTGTATCGGAGGTTGAAGTCCAATTTGCGATCAGACAGAAACTTACGAAGCCTCAAAAAAGCATTTCTGGCTTGTTCAACTCTGCTCTTTATTTCATTCTCGGGGTCCCAAGCCCCATTTAGCAAACATCCCAAGTATTTGAATTGCCTGACTTGTTCGATTTCTTCTCCAGAGACATATATCTTTGCGTTGGGGTAATCATTTCTACTTATAATCATTGATTTTGTCTTCTTGATATTTATTTTCAAACCCCGAGCTTCACTTGCAAGAGTTAGATCATTTAAAAGGCATTGAATATCTTCGATGTTATCTGCCACTATGGCTGTATCTTGCCGTTACCGTTAACTTGCCGTTAACTTTAATACCCTTATTAGAGTCTTCCACTGCTTCTGCGAAGGCTTTTTCTACGTATAAATTGAACAGCATTGGGGACAGTATACAACCTTGCCTTACTCCTTTTTTAATGGAGAAAACTTCTGTTTCGTTGGAATTTTGAAGACGTACTGTTGCTGTCTGATTCCAATACAGATTGGCGATGATTCTTATATCCTTTGCATCCAATCCCAACTCTTGTAGGTATTTTATCATCAATTCATGTTTTACATTATCGAATGCTTTCTCGTAATCGATGAAACAGATAAAAACATACTTTCTTTGATCTAAATAATTCTGTATCAATGTTTGCATACTAAAGATCGCTTCTCTCGTGTTAAGTCCATTTTTGAAACCAAACTGACTCCATCCACTGACCTCTTCACATTTCTTAAACAATCTAGTGTGAAGTATTCTCAGGAAAAGTTTTAAAAAGTGACTCATTAGGCTTATTAGTCGGTGGTCCTTGCAGAAGTTCGCACGTGGTGTGTTTGGTAGGGCGATAAATGTAGATCGAAGCCAATCTTTTGGAATCTGGCCCGTATCGTAGATGTCGTTAAAGAGCTTGACAATAATGTCTAGGTTTTCTTCATTAAGTAACTTGATTGTCTCTGCGTACATATCATCTGGTCCTGGGGTTTTGTTACTTTTTAATAGTTTGATAGCGTGTACAATTTCAGCTTTCAAAATACTTGGGCCATACAAATGGTCTCCCAGTTGTGGTGGTTTTTGTGTTCTGTCATCATTGAACAAATTGGCTGTGTACATTTTCCAAGTATTAAGTATATCGCTAGGGTCCATTATTAATTCATTTTGGTCATTATGTATACCAGTGACTTGTTTTTTCTTGAAGACACCAGCAATTTCCTTAATTTTCTTGTGAAGATTGAAGCTGTCGCCGAGTTTATATAGGCTTTCAGCCTCGACGCAAAGTGTAGTCATCCAGATTTCCTTCGCCGCTATTTCTTATATATAAAAATTTCTGATATGAGGAATTAATTCCAACAGCCAAAACCATGCGACAATCATCAGATGAGTATCCAAAACGCTGTTAGAATGAGATTTTTAGCTGAACATCGTGATATGATAGAGTTATCGAACTCATATAGTTGCCATATCACTAGTGTCTCAATTAAAAAAAGAAGCACACTCCGAACTAGAAAGGAAATATGAAGCCCAGCTTCCTATTGAGTCTGCAAACTTTAGCATGTGCTATCATGCCTACAATGGATACCCTCAGTACATCATGACTTATACCTATTTACGTGTTAAATCCAATGCTTGAATTTTAAGTTTTGAATTATTTTTTAGTTAAGGACATATTTTCTTCAAAAAACTTTTATTGTTTATGTAACTTGCTTTTAAATAAAATAATGTAAACAATGGTACTGCATGTTTTTTTCATAAATTCTTGTAATATCTCTGAAAAAAATCCAATGCACACAAATTTGTTACTGTACTATTGCACTTTCAGTCTTAAATTTTCCGTAATTAGAGTATATATTTCTTAAATAAATAAAAGTTTAATTTTCTGTTTATATAAACTTTCAATAAAATATATTCTCTACCTAGCGTAAAACCGGCCCTGTGGTCAAACTCTAGCCATTCATTCATACAATGCAACCTGCCCCACTCTCGTTCTAACCAGGAACATCCTTATAAAACTAAAGCTTCAAACAAAACTTCATTCTTAAGTTTGATACCATCGTGGTTCGACAGTCGTTCTTCTAAACAGTGCTTGTAAAACGTGCTACGAATAATGGCGCCGACGGCATATACCACCAGTGAGTTAAACGAAGAACCGATCTCAAGAACGTATCAGTACCGGAAAGTGATGAAACCGATGTTAGAGAGAAAAAGACGAGCCAGGATAAACCGTTGTTTAGACGAATTAAAAGAGTTGATGGTGACAGCCCTTCAAAACGACGGAGAAAACGTTTCGAAATTGGAAAAAGCTGATATTTTAGAACTAACTGTGAGGCATTTACACAATCTCAAGAGCCACCACCAGTTAGTACTACCACCCGAACAGTCTTACGCTGATCGATTTAGAGCTGGCTTCACTCAATGTGCTCAGGAAGTTACTCACTTCATCACAACACCTTCGGAAATCATAGATCCTTCGGCTGGAAGAAAATTGCTGCAACATTTGGGAGCTTGCGTGAGGCAATTGGATTACGTGTCTCATAACTTCAATATCCAGTATTCCCAAAAGTGTGGTTCCCCTCAAGGTTCTCCTACATCTAAGTTGAAATGTTCTACTGCTTCGCAAGTTTCAATGTGGAGGCCCTGGTGAAAAGACTGTTATTTTTATGTTAATGTAGTGATGTTTGTGATTTTTTGTAAGTAGTTTTGTGTTTCGTAGTTTTTTAAGAATAATTCTTTTTATCAACAGAAAATTTGTTACAATATTAACTTGAAAAAATAATTATCTATTTTTTACAATATTTTAACAAATATTTCCAGATAACCTTTATATCTGTTTGTCTTCCTTTTTTTCTTAATATTAGCACCATAAATTTTTTTTCTTAAATACAAAAAGGAATACTGAATGGAAAATTCTTTTGTTGGAATATTTGCTTGATGCGTATAGTACTTTTAGCTTTAATTCTGTGATAATAGTAATAAGAAAAGCCAGGTTATATTGTTACATATCTCAGTTGACATACATATATTGTTAAAGTTGGATTTAGGTTAGAGAAAACGATTTAACATTTAACAAAGTGGCAATATTAATTTAAATAAACTCTGTGGAACTAAATCCAATTTGTTCTAATTGTATTTGAATAAAATAAACTAATTTTTACTCAACAATCTTTTTTGTTTAATTGATTTCTTCCTTATTTATAAATAATATTTACAGGGAGTTTTCTGCCTAATATTTTTGAACATTCATTGACATATCAGGAGGAGATTGGTCAATTGCAGATAAAACGTCCTCTAACAATACTAATACCAAAAAATATACACGGATGGAGTTTCTTTTGTAGAAAATCATAAATAGGCTAATTTGAAATGTGTAGTATGCGTCAATAATGATGTAAATAGACAACTTAAAAAAATACACAAAATGAGATAATGCTAAATTAAAATTCATTAAAAAACAGAAAAAAATATTGCAAAATGAACCACAAAATCGCTGATTTTGAATATCGTTAATAATTATTTTATTCTTTATCAACATTTGTTTAAATGTGCCTGAACTTGAGGGCCTTAACGTGTTGAATTAGTTTTGGGAAATTTAAGTAATTTGTTAATAAGATTTTTTGAAAACTGAGCCAATTTCTAAGCTGGTCCAGATAAATTTACTATACTTCATTTCAGATGTCCGTGCAGTAAAGGAATGTGCAATTTCCGTTTGAAAACCAGTATTTAATAGGCTTCATAGTAATAAGGGCTTTAAAGAGTCTCTAGACAAAAGTTAATGAGCTGATAATGGTTTTATTTAGAAGTGTAAACATGCGCGTGCATACATGGGCGTGCAAATTGGTTTCATAGCATTTGAAAAAGTTACATATGAAGAAGAAATATCACTTTTTTTATTTTTAGCAAATTTTATATATTATGTGGGTGGTGCATCGTCAAACGGGCCATAGGAAACTCAATGCGAAGTTCTAAAGTATTGAATTCCTGCTTCCCTAATTAATTTACACCAAAAGTCATGGGAAACTATTTGTAGAGGACTCAAATATGTATCGAAAACAATTGTTAAAATTGTTCTACGACTTAAACTTATTCCAAAATTTTGCTAAAATATAATACATTTTTCAGGCCACCCCTAAAAGTCAGGCCAGACGTCGCGTCGTGAAAAAAATGTGTATTACGTGTTGTGTTTTGTCATATTGACGTTTCTAATATTTGACAATATTTAAATCAACTATATTATATTTATCTATGCATGTTATCCTGTACATTGAATGTCAAAAGTATAAACAACCCACCAACAACCTAATTAAAAGAATGATAGACAAGAACATCCCTCTTCCTGTTAATATTCTCTTTCTACTATCACTCAATGAGAAGAAAATGTATAACTGCTTGATAACCTTTTTGTCCGATAGTAAAGTATGCCTGTAATTAGTAAGATTTGTAACCTATGTTTAGAAAAAATTCATGAAAAAAATAATAAAAAAAAAATTATTAAAAAAAAAGTTAAAAAAAATAAAATAAAAAGAATATAAAAAAATACTTAAAAAAATAGATTTAAAAAGAAAAAGAAAAAAATAAATTAAAAATAAAAGAAAAAAGATGATTATAAAAATATATTAAAAAAAGAACAAAATAAGAAAAAAAAATATTTATACTAAAACAATCACTAAGAGGATCTAAACCTCCGAGATGTTGAATCGGGTTTATGTCCTAACGTAGTGAAAAAAAAAAATGTATTACCATAGTTGTAGTTATTAACATAGTAGGTAGATATCTTTATTTTTATTTTTTTTTATTTGTAAGATGTATTCGCTCCGTGCGTGACTGACACGACACCTACCGTTTTTTTCTGACAATTTTGGAGTCCCAATTTTCAGGTTAAACATATGACATATGTTTGACATTGTTAAATACATGCGAAATTGTCAATTATTAATAAATTAGTTTTTTAACTATATTTTTTCAGTTTATGTACAAAATAAATGTACCTAGTATTAAAAACTGGGTTTCTAAAAATTCATCATAATATATCTTTTCAACTCCAAACGGAAAAGAAAGGGAAAAATCTAGTACTGGCAAATTAAGTTTTTCACGCAAAAGAGCATATAATTAAAAACAATAATAGTAAAAGTTATGATATAAAAGCTAAAGTCATCTGCAGTTAGCTTGAAGCCTTATGAAATATCATTCAAGGTAAATTATTTAAATTTTTCCTATTTCAATTGCGTAAAAATGAAATTATGTGATATTTACTTTTTCATATTAATAGCAGGAATTTATCTTTTTCTTTTCTCTAATTTATATGTAATCTTTGGGAACCTATAAAAACTACACTCACTGTTTTTGCTATTATTAGCACAATTAAATACGCAACATGTATTTGCACACATTTTTGATCAAATTTATGCGTAAAAATATTTTGTTCAATATTCCAATTTTGTCATATTTCGCCGCTATGCACGCTGGCGTCGTTTCAATGTACCCCTTCCATGGTCAAGCACGGAGGGAATACACTATGAATTTCTGATGGCGTCTCTCAATAACTAAATTATAATAAAGGTATGATATATTATTTATTACCATAGTATGTACATTACCTTAGCTGTTATTATTCTTATATTAATCATGTTTCACTAATTGACATATTTAAATTCTTTAACAAAACTTATGTTGATGGAGACTGGCTCAATGACAATTGTCCAAGCCAAGGAAAAAAAATTTATCTATGATTTAAATGGCCAAAATTTTGTGATTTATTATTTAAAAGAAAAATTAAGTTGATTAAAAAATATACTCAGTTAAGGAGAAAAGAGCAATAATAAAAATGTTTTATTCATGCTTTATTATAATATTTGTTATAGTTTTAGGTTTAGAAATTATCATATATTATTATTAGGAATAAAGATCACAGTATCTAACAGTATATTGGAATTCATTGAATTATTGTATAACTTAACATGGAATTAAATTTTAGTGTATTAGAATATCTTACGTTAAAAAAAAGATCCGGTAGTGACAGGAAAAGGTTCGCGCTATTGCCTGAATACAACATTATGCGATTTTTCGTCAACTGAGTACATTTCATTATATTGATCGATTTGTAAACAATATAATTTATTGTTCACAAAGTAATATTGTTCAGTAGTAGTAGTGTTTAGTAAAATTAATTGTTTATAATTTAATCATAAAATAAAAAAATTGACAATTCAAATTGTCAAACATCTGACATCAAGATGATAAAACACACACGTTATATATTCTTGTATTACGTGTGGCCTAACTTTTAGGGGTAGTCTGAAAAATCTATTATATTTTTGCAAAATTTTGAAGTACATTTGATTCGTAGAACGGTTTTTACATTTGTTTTCAATTCAGATTTTAGTCCTCTACAAATAGTTTTTTATGACTTTTGATCTAAAATAATTAGGGAAGCAGCAATTCAACAATTTAAAATTTCCCATTGAGTTTCCTATGGCCCGTCTGACGATTCACCACCCGGTATAATTGAAGAATGTAATTTGCTATTTGAGTAATACAAATGTCAGTTTTTTAAGCAAAAAAAAACTCTTTTATCGACAGTTTCGCAACAATCAGTTACTTTTTTAAGATTTAAAACTATGTTAATGTGTAATAATTTTATTTTGTACATTCTTCTTCTTCCTTTTTGTATGTAGACTTTAAAGCCTATTTCTTTTTCAATATTAGCCTCCTAAATTGTTTAAATTGTTGCACCATCTTTTTCTTGGTCTGCCAATACTTCTTCGTCCACTTGGTAACTTATCTCATGCTATTCTATATTCTCGTACTATTCTATCCTCTACCATTCTACTGATGTGTTGTTGTACATTCTAGAAATGTACCTTCTTTGGTACATTTCTCTCGTACAGTCGGCACACAGTGATTCTACATTGAATCAGTGATTTCCTGTAAAAAAATTTGTTTTGGTGTTATTTTCATTTTTATCTTTGCTTGTACTAGTTGGGCTAACTCCCTGCGTCTGCTGACCTTTGGATGAATTTTTCTATTAGTAACTATAAAATCAATCATAGATTTATGCCCTCTGGAGTTTTCAAATGTATATTTATACTGGAGCTTATGGTCGAAAAATGTATTATTGATTCTCAGTTCGGGCATTAAAGTCACCCATAAGAATTAAGGGCTCTTCATGAGGTATTTCATCCAGGATGGTTTGCAATTGTTCGTAGAATGCCTCTCGTTCCTCCTTAGGTTTGCAGTCCTTACTTTGCACATCATTGTAATAATTTTGCAATTTTTATTAAAAGTAATGGAAATAATACATATTGCTATTATAAAAATTTCAAATACTACTAAATAACTAAAAGATTAATTATATAAGAAGTATCACGTTATGCATAATCTGCTTTGCCTTATTGTTCATCCGTGGAGGTATATTTAGCAGTTACTTTAATCATTAATGGTTCCACCAAGATGTCTAATGTGTTGTCCAAGACCCACATTTTTTTTATCACATGTTGAATGCATTTGTTCCAGTTTAAGGCAGTGACATTAAGTAAAGCGTGTTTAATAAGTTCTGCAAGTTTGTAAGTGGTGTTATTTCTTGCCACGTTCTCTTTTACTTGGGCCCAAATCTACTCTATAGGATTTAATTTACAGCGATAAGGCGGCAATCTGACTATTGTAATATTAAGTTTTTTGTCCATTTCGTCTATGACATGCATTCTTAATGTGTGTGAAGGTATGTCTTGCCTTCTTCTTCTTCTTCTCGTGCCACTCCTAGCGGAGATTGGAAATCATCATGGCCACTGCGACTTTGTTAGCAGCGCGCCTAAAAAGTTCAATCGAACTACACCCGAACCATTCACGTAGATTACAAAGCCACGATATTTTTCTTCTTCCCACACTTCTTTTGCCCTTAATTTTGCCCTGCATGATGTTTCTTAAAAGTTCGTACTTTTCACCTCTCACAATGTGCCCCAAGTATTCCATCTTTCTAGTTTTTATCTCATTTAGAATTTCGCATCTTTTGTCTAAAGTTTGGAGTACTTGCGTGTTAGTGACGCGGTCCATCCATGATATTCTGAGAATGCGCCTATAGCACCATATCTCGAAAGCTTCGATGTTTTTTATGGTCAACTGTTTTAGTGTCCAAGCCTCAACTCCATATAACAGGGTAGAA